CGTCTGCTAGTAGCTTGAATTAATTATTGCTGCGTAAAAGACAAACGTAAGTGTTTCAATACTCTTTCTATTACCTTAGAAAAAGTTCGTACAGAACTTATAAAAACTATTGGAGACTTATTCTGTAAATGCTTATATATAAAAGGATGTGATGTATATATTGATATATATTTCAACTAACAAATACTGTGCGACAGAATAAATGCACAGATGACATAGAGTAGATTGCTGATTCTAGTGAATTTTTTATTTGTACGCCATATCCAAGAGAACAAACTATTACAAACGCAACTATGTATTTTTGTAATATTAGGCTTTTATATGTTACGTTCTTAGATTCCACTGTTCTTTGCTTTTTGATCTGTTCGTCGACTTGATGGTATTTTTAATGATCGAGGACTGTATCGACTAATAATTATTAGTACATTAAATTTTAATTTAAGGAATTTTTCTTTTCTCTGTATCTCTTAAACAAGTTTCTCTCGCCAAAACTCTTGAGTGACAGTCAAGAGAGAATATCAAACTAATACGTGACAGAAAGCGATAAGCAGGGAAACGGAAGAACAATCCATTATTATAAATAAACTGATCATGAAAATTTTATATATATGTCATACAACAACGACTACTGAAGATGTTTCTGGAAAACTTCACTTAAAATATAAGAAAGTAGATGTCAAGTCCCACCAAATCATAGAATTAGTAAAGCTAGTGTCTTAAGAGTGGAGGTTTGCATATCATTATCTAGCATCACACTCACGATCAGCGGCGCCTAGTTCGCGTCCCAGAACTCTACAAAGATAATGATAATAATGATAAGAAACAATTACCTTAAGAAAATCATAAATCTAGCGATAGTTAATTACTATATTACCTTGTAACAATACTTATCAACCAATTAGCGACGATCTTTCGCCCCGTTCGATATTTTAAAAGTTATGAGCTAACCGATAGCTATTTACTTTTACGATTTAACAAATTTCTCAACTGCGCACTAGTCATCAGCGACAATTTTGCGCCACTTATAGCTCTAGAAAATTCATAGATCACATCATCCACATGACTCTAACATAGTAATGGATCCCTGACAAATTTTTCGGGTATAAATAGAGATCCACGAAAGCTCATCTTAAATAGAAGTAGAAGAACAGTTAGATGAACCAGTGCTACGTCAACATAAATTTAGTACGGTTCTGTTGTTGGTACGAATTCTGCTGAGTCTCCAATCCAGTACTCATGACTACAAAGGAACGCCTGGAACTTCAGCCATTTCGTCTTTCTGAGTACAGAGTCTGTTCCAACCTGATCACGCCAAATTACTACACCAGCCATTCAAATAGAAAGTTAAACTTTTTTTTTCTTTTTCTTTTACATCTCTTCGGTTTCAACCTAGATGTTAAATTTTAGTGCGCATTTTGTTTCTCCAAGAACTCCCTTAACCAGATAAATTTTATAAACTTTCAACGGAGTCCTTAACATCAGCATATTACTGCGCCTCAAATTGCTGAATCAATGGCTACATTTACACCGTGTATTTAGGCCGCAGCCTAAACAATAGATGTCCTTGTTTATCCTGTAGGTTAAACAAAGACACCTATCGTATAGGTCGTGGACTAAGCGCACGGTGTAAACGTAATTGTATCGTCTTACTCACTCACAATTCCAATCTCATAATGTCCGACTAATATTACAGATGGTCTTCCCCTAGATTTGTCCACATCCTCCACCTTTGATCCCACCTCATTTTTAAATTTACTCTCTTATTCTTCCTCCATCATAGACCGATTTTCCCCACGTCTCATTGGAAAAAGTCGCCCTCCACCATATCCAGTATTTCACAATCTAAAGTAACTCTGTCTTCCTAACCTCCAATCAGTAATTCTCTATTTCTTCGTTTTCCTAAAATTAAATATCTCATAGAAATCAAATACCTTATGTGTTATACTTCGTATCTCATATCCTTTCACCAGAGATCGTACGTGGTTCAAACCCGAGTCAAAAGCATGAAGTTACTCGACTCAGAACTAGAACCAACATTCGCACAATTTTTTAATTCCTTCATTTTAAACTTATTACACGAGTGCTCAGAGTTTGGACGTAACACTAGGTTGCAAAGTATTTAATATAATGGATGATCTTTATTTACGACATTTTTAACAACGTATCGATTAGAGATAAAGATGATGACTTTGATAAAGTGTTTTACGTAGTACATAGAAGTCAATGCGCACAATATAACGTTTTTTCGTAAATTAAGGGTACTTATTATTCGTACGTATGCTTGTAACGATAATATAACTTATTAAGAATTATCTGTCAATTGAGAAAACAAACTATCCATTTTTAGTAAGAATGTCCCATTCATCTGAATTTAATGCGATAGACCTTCTATCTTTTGATTCATTGTTATTAATTAAAATTGAGACGTCAATATATTAAATGAAGAAGAAGGTTGATACACGGAGACTGAGTTACATAGATTTGGATCGTGGAAAGTAGCGAATGTGTATAAGATATTATCATTATTGTTACAGGAGACTGTAACTGCTTGTAATTAGGAATTGATTGTAAAAAAACTATAATAATACTGTATCACTAATCATTGAGAACATGGCAGAACATTTCGTACTTTTTACTGTAGATTGCTGATTAAATAAAATTATTGCGTGACATAGTTTGCGAAAATAGCGTTGTGTCACGTTGCTGTTATAACAACAATGTTTAAGAAAGCCGTGTTCGTAGATAACACACACGCGCCAAGTCAATTTGTCATTCAAGGACTTTCACAATGCTTTTACAATGTCACATACATTTATAATAAGAAGATTATTACTTCTGAGTATTGAAGCTATAATCGTAGATATACCTACGGCAAAGATACCTGTTAATGCGAATATATGGTACAAAATTATTAGTTTAATATTTTATCAGTAAATTTTCAGTTATCTAATCAGTTATCTACTTGCATTACAGATGCGCAAAAATGGTGGAATAAAAGTTAAATGCTCGCGTACATATTCATAATTTCAGAACAATATTGTATAATTTCGTATTGATTTCTTATACATATTATATTATATAAGCAATTCTATTTTTCGTAGAAACTATGAATTGAGCTATTTATAAGTTGAAAATAAAACTAACAGGAGAAGTGATACGCTAACATTTTATTTTTTGTTACACACAAAGTATGCACACGTTTTCTTAAAAAGCATACATTCGGTAGAGATGCTGTACTTGCTGTGTATTTTATGTTTAATTTTTGATATTATTAAAATAATATGGGCATGTATTACGAATATATGGTTCAATACACAACATTAATAAAATAGTATATATTAATAAATAGACTGAGTTATATTGATTTAAAAACAGAAACTGTATTAATCTCACAATCTTTTACTTTCTTTTTTCCGCCTTCTTCCTTTTTCTCCTTCCTCTTATATTTTAATTTTGTACATTATTTGACAACTACTCTGAATTGATTAAAAACTTGAAAGGAACTCCGTTGGCAACTGATTTCATTTTAAAATTTCACTTGACATTGTTTCTTTATTCACATATATTCGTATTCTTATTCGGTAGGCCGTTAAAGTATAGCAATTATATGGAATTTTTAATTTTTTAATTTAAAGAAACGTTGTTAACATCATGAATTTTTATCCGCAATACGATTAGAGTTAAATGCGACCTTTTTTTTGCTTGAATAGAGAGTTTTACAAACAAAGTTTTAGTACTTCCTTGGGAACTATGAAATTTAATAACTAAATTAATAAATTTCTTCATAATTTAGGAACTAAGAAATTCAACTTCCGTTTTATTATCGATACGTTGACGACATAGTAGTGGCAGATTCCAAAAGTATTATAGATTTCATACTTAAAATATTTAACTCTTTTCAGAAATTTTACAACTTATTTTAAAAATAGATGGAAACAGAATAAATTTTCTGGATTTCACCACTATTGATATAATTACATTACGGAATTTGATTAGTATCATTATCCTGAGCGTTCTCCAGATCATATTTAAACTTTACATCTTTATACGTAAGTTCCAAAGTATCTATGTAATGGATGGTTTTCATTTCCGACACTTTTAACTTCTTTTAACGACACTTTTATTTCCGACAAATCGATTTGAGTTGAAGCTGATGACATTGATAAAGTGTTGTCATTTAAGAGACTTAAACAATGTTGTAATAACAAAGAAATAATTACATACATACGCAGTATATATAAAATTCACACAATTATAACAAGCACTGTGATCCAGCTTTGACCGTAAAATGGCTTTCTTCTTCTAATTTATTATTGTTTATCAATTGTACGGTCTTAAAAATATTCTAGTATTTGTTAAAGAAATAATAAGTTTGAATATTAATTAAAACTACAGGCTACGGCAATAATATTCGTTAATGTGAATCTGTACAAAATTATTCGTAAAATTTATCGTTATGTCGATTGCCTATTATCTAATCAAGCATCCACTTTCCTTTCAAATTATTAAAAATGAACAAAGGTAAAGTAATGATGTATATAATATATTTCATAATTTTAAAGCTATTATACATTATTGTACCGTATTTGTTATGTATTCGGATTTATAAGACGCGCCATGTATAAGAGAGCAGTGCTTAGTTTGCGACATGTGGCGCTGAAGCAAGTGACGTGGTGTGCGTGTGTGTGCGTATGCTGCGCGGAGCAGCACTCCGTTTACCGGCTTGGAGCAGAAAGCATGTGTGTGTATGCAGGAGAGTTAGATTTCTGAAATATAGTCAAGTCCGTAGTATATTACTTTATCGGCGTACTTATTGAATCCCTTGCTGAATTTGAACCCTGGAATAAATATAATAAACTGGCGACGAGGATGGGATATTTGTGAGGGATAGATTCTGTGAAAACTGGGAACGTGAAAACGTGTAAGCGAGACGATCGGGCGGCATCGTTTCTTTCTTCTTTTTTTTTTCTCTAAGACAATAGAAAAGGACGTTAAATATAATGGCTACAAGTGTTTCTGGTGAATCAAGAAATCCGGCAAATGCAAGAGCTGAACCTCCGAATATCGCAAATGCACATAATGTGATTCAAATTGAAAAATTCGATCCGGCGACTCAAACATGGAAACGTTGGTTACAACGACTCGAAGGCTTCTTCAAGGTTTTCAAAATAACGAGCGGTGAAGAAAAAGTTGTGTACTTGCTTCACTATATTGGAGTTGAGGCTTTTGGAGTACTGTGTGATCGTCTTGATCCAGACGATCCGTACGCCAAATCTTTCGAGGAATTGTGTAATAAGCTGGGAGAATATTATGCTCCAGAGCCGCTGGAAATTGCGGAAATCTATACATTCCGCAAAAGAATGCAAAAAGAAGGAGAGGCCGCGCAGGAATACCTGGCGGCACTTCAAAAATTGTCGTTATATTGTAAATTCGGCAATTATTTAAACACGGAATTACGAAATCAATTCGTCTTTGGAATCAAAAACCCACGGATCCAAGCCAGACTTTTGGAAACGATAGATTTAACGAAGGAGCGAGCTCTCAAAATCGCCTGCGCAATGGAGATGGCTGATCAAGGAGTAAACAAGCTGAAGGACGAATCGGCAGTGTCAGTCGACTTCGTCGGAGCTGGAAGTAAAAACAAAAAAAAGTCGAAGGAAAAGGAACGCAGGAAGCAGCCTTTTGGAAAAGCGGAATCGAGGAAGACAGCACATAATGCAGAAATTGTAAAACATTCTAAAAATGAGTCTAAAAATAATAATAAAATTATATGTTTTAGGTGTGGTAAAAACCATTTAGCGCCGTCCTGCTCTCTTCCGCGGAGTACGAAATGTTTGGAATGCGGCGGTTATGGCCATTTGAAAAAAGTGTGCAAGAAGAAAGGTCAAACAGACTGTGTAGATATTGCCACAATAGACTTAGAGCACGAACATGTAAGTCATCGGTCGAAGTATACGGTCTCTCTCCAAATAGAGGATAGGAAAATAGAATTCGACGTGGATTCAGGAGCGGCGGTAACGCTGGTGAGTCAGTCTTGGTTGAAATTAAAATTCCCTAAATTGACAATTTTGAAAACTGATTTGAAATTAAGATCTTATTGTAAAAAGAATTTCGTTCCTATGGGATTCGTCAAAGTTAAAGTAAAAGATGTAGATACTTGGAAGTATTTGAATATGTATATAGTCGAATATAATAGACAGCCACTCTTGGGTCGTGAATGGATCAATCAATTAAAATCATTTAATAAATTTAAAGAAAGCCTAGAAGAGGTGCAATCATTACATTTAGTAGAACTATCGTGTAATAAGCGTTTAAAAAATTTGTTAGAAAAATATGCTAATCTAATAAGTGATGATTTTGAACCAATTAAAAAAATCAAAGCTCAATTAAACTTAAAACCAAACTCACAACCTGTGTTTTTGCGTAGTAGGCAAGTACCTTTTCAAATTAAAAATAAAGTAGAAAACGAATTAAATAGAATGGTAAAAGCGGGAATTTTAAAACCAGTAGAAGCATCCACCTGGGCAACTCCAATTGTCCCAGTTTTAAAGAAAGATGGCGGGGTGAGAATTTGTGGCGATTTCAGCGTCACGGTAAATTCATGTTTAATCGTTGATGAGCATCCATTACCCACTCATGAGGAACTTTTTGCTAAAATGGCTGGCTGTAATGTGTTTTCAAAAATAGATTTAAAGCAGGCTTACTTGCAATTAGAATTAAGAAACGAAGATAAAGAAATTCTGACACTTAATACTTCAAAGGGTCTATATCAATGTAATCGGCTTATGTATGGAGTAGCATCGGCATCGGCGATATGGCAGAGAACAATCGAAAATATTTTGAAAAATATCCCAGATATTACTGTTTTTCTGGACGACATTAAGATCGCAAGTGTAAACGTTGAAAAACATTTTGAAATTTTAGAATTAGTCTTGAACCGTTTATCAGAATATAATATAAGAATAAATTTAGAAAAATGTGCATTTTTGAAAAGTCAAATTTCGTACTGCGGGCACATCATCGGAATGGATGGTATAAAAAAGGAGAAAAAGAAAATGGAAGCAGTAGAAAAGCTGCCAAGACCTAAGAACGTATCTGAAGTCCGAGCGTTCATTGGTCTAATAAATTATTACGGTCGATTTATAGAAAATATGAGTGACATATTGAAACCATTAAATGATTTGTTGAAAAAAAATTCGCATTTTAAATGGACTTCCGCTTGTGAAAGGGCGTTTAATAGCGCAAAACAAGCTTTCTGTAATGATAAAATTCTAGTGTCGTTCAACCCAAATCTGCCAATCGTTTTAGCTACGGATGCTAGCCCATATGGAGTCGGAGCGGTCTTATCACATGTATATCCAAATGGAACAGAGCGAGTGATAGAATATGCTTCGAATACGCTAAATGATACGCAAAGAAAATATACACAAATCGATAAAGAGGCGTATGCCATTATTTTCGGAATTAAAAAGTTTCATAACTTTCTATACGGTAAACATTTCACTTTACTTACGGATAATAAACCGTTAACGCAGATTTTGAATCCTGGAAAAGGGTTACCGGCGTACAGTGCAATGCGGATGCAGCACTACGCGGTTTTTCTCCAGGGTTTTGATTTTGATATAAAATTTAGAAAAACTGAAAATCATGGCAACGCTGACGGATTTTCGCGACTACCGATAAAAGAAAATAATAGGGCGAGGTATGATGCGCTAGACGTGTATACTGTGGATACGTTAAATATGCTACCTGTTAAAGCAAGTGAAATTCAAACAGAAACACGTAATGATGAAAATCTCTTAAAAATAGTTGAAGCTTTGGAACAAGGCAAATGTTTAAAAAAATTTGGGTTGCAAAACCATGAATTCGCGTTAAATAACGGAATCCTATTAAGAAAAGATAGAGTTGTAATTCCAGAAAAATTCAGAAATAAAATTCTTAAGGAATTGCATTTAGGCCATATAGGCATAGTTAGAATGAAAGCCCTAGCGAGAAACTATGTTTGGTGGCAAGGAATAGATTTAGAAATCGAAAAAACTGTTCGTAGTTGTAAGGAATGTAGTCGCGTCCAAAATAACCCGAAGCCTGCGCCACTGCATCATTGGGAGCCTACTGAGGAAGCGTTTGAAAGAATCCATATGGATTTTGCAGGACCATTTGCAGGTTATAATTTTCTAGTGTGCGTAGATGCGCATACTAAATGGCCTGAAGTTTACGTAATGAATAATATTACTGCTTCAAGTACTATTGGAAAATGTCGTGAAATTTTTGCTAGATTCGGTATTCCACGAATGCTAGTTACAGATAATGGTAGAACATTCATATCACAAGATTTTCAAAATTTTATTAAAGCAAATGGAATTATCCATAGGCTGACAGCTCCTTATCACCCGGCAACCAATGGTGCAGCGGAAAGATTCGTACAAACATTGAAACAATGGTTGCGTAAAACAAACTTAGAAAAAGAAAATGTAAAATGCAGCGTTCAAAAGTTTTTGTTTCATTACCGTATTACTCCATTTCCGGAATTAAAACAATCACCCGCCGAAATCATGTTCGGACGAAAATTGCGAAATCGGTTGGATTTATTATCTCCAAAAGAAATGGAAATAAAAAACAAACCAGTGGAGAGTAATGAAACAAGAAATTTCCAAGTAGGAAATAAAATCGCAGCACGTGAATATTTAAATAAAAAAGCAAAATGGCGTTTCGGTATAGTTTACAGGAAATTAGGAAAGTTACATTATTTAATAAGATTAGAGAATGGAAAAATCTGGAAAAGACACGTAAATCAATTACGTCTAAATGAACAAAACTCTGATAATAATAAATCGCAAGAGACGATGGATAGATTTAACTATTCAAATTCCGACTTAGAGAAGTCAGAAATTAAGTCGGGTGGAGAGAGACCGGGTACAGAGACAAATGATGAAGCCATAAGTAGCACCGTCCACATTTCGCCTGAGGAAGGGACAGGAGAGGATACATGCGAACAAATAGCCTTGCCTATCGAGGAAACTGATAAGCGCGCGGGGGAACTAGTTCGAAACGAACGTCCCAAACGAAATAGAAGGGAACCGGATCGGTACTCAGATTTTCTATACTCACATTAAAAAAAAAATAAAAGGAACCTTATAAATAATTATTGTTTCAGATTAGTTTAGAGTTAAGATGGTATAATAGGGGTGATGAAGTTGAAATTAAGGTATGTGTTGCGTTTGAGTTATTGATTTGTTTTCTTGATACGTAAAATTAAGGAATTTCTGTAAAAAAAAAAGGGAAGAGCTGTTATGTATTCGGATTTATAAGACGCGCCATGTATAAGAGAGCAGTGCTTAGTTTGCGACATGTGGCGCTGAAGCAAGTGACGTGGTGTGCGTGTGTGTGCGTATGCTGCGCGGAGCAGCACTCCGTTTACCGGCTTGGAGCAGAAAGCATGTGTGTGTATGCAGGAGAGTTAGATTTCTGAAATATAGTCAAGTCCGTAGTATATTACTTTATCGGCGTACTTATTGAATCCCTTGCTGAATTTGAACCCTGGAATAAATATAATAGTATTGTTTCTAATAGCAATTCTATTTATAAGGACAAGACTTTGAATTAAGACTTAGAAGTTAAAACCAAAGGAAAAGTTTTTATTATACACAAAATATATATATATATTTCCTTAAATAACATACATTTTACTGAAGTGCTGTATCTACGCTTACAACTGTGTCGTTTACATTTGTGTCACTTTTAAATCCTTTTTTAAATCTATGTTATTATATATTCAAGTAATAGAAGTATATATTATTTTTATGAGAGCACATTTATGTAAGAAAACATCATAAAATAATACAGATGATAAGCAAAGAACGTTTACAATTTATTTAAAAAGAAAAATTAATCATACTCTTCTGTAAACTACACGTAATTTCACACTGTAGAAAGAGTATTATTGCGTTAATTATAATTCTGAAGGGTTCAATCTGTATATCTGTTAAAAAAAGGATAAATCAGTGTTCTTTTAAAAAAAAATTATCGAATGAGGGAAATAATATAAAGAAGAATCCTTAATTGTTGATTATTGAATAAATTTTTCCAAGTAAATAAATCAAAATTTTTTATCTATCTGATAATTAATCGTCAATTGTGTCAACCACATTATATACGTCTATCGCCTTAATAAATGTGCACGCATAAAAGCATGTATACTCGTACATAATTAAAGTTGCGTAATTATTTAACAATTGAAACATTGGTAAAAAGGGAAAAAAACAAATGCTTGTGCATGGTATGGTCGGGTCGCGCAATCGGCATAAAATGAAAATCATCGGCTATTACGTCCGGCGCTCTAGCTCGTCGTATTTTGGTTCCCTTCCGTCCGATCTTCTTTATCTCCTCGCCGTTCGTATATATCTACTAGCCGGTATTTTTTCTGCGAGCTGCTGCATGCGCCAAAGAGGACACCACCGTCCAGCGGCACGCAGATCGCTAATTGTTGTAAAAATTCAGTATAATTGAAATAATTAATAAAAGCGGCATGATATTCCGAATGCAAAATGAGCTTCAACGCCCGCGCCGTTAAGTAATCTCAAAATCACCCACCGAGTTGTAGCACGATGTAAGGGAAAAGTAATAACGCGATTGCGAATAATTAATTAATATTCGATTAAAAACTGATGCTAGAAATAACATTACAATCACGTTAATTGTTGCCTCCGAGCCAATTTATATTAAGTTAAATAATCTATTTTTCACGCGGAAATCACTACGAAATACCACCAGCGAAAATAATGTGTGGGACGCGAAAGCACGCTGTTATCGCGCTACGATCTGATTCCGCGATGACAGGTACGCCGAAACTCTATATAATAATGAAAAACTTATACTCTGGAATACGGCATATGTGCTCGCGCCGCTTCACTTGCTAGCGATTAACCCACTAGATAGCATGCGTTCGATAAAATCAATCTATGATTATACCAAATCTCTGATCGATGCGATTACTAATTGCTGAGAGAGAGAGAGACAGAGAGAAAACTGAAAATTAAGAAAATTATTTATTGCCCATCTTTCCGGGAAATTTGGCGTTTTCGCACGCCGCTATCACCAAGCTAGCTCTATATTAGCAGGCGACAATCCAGCGTTCGCGATCATTCCCGTTCTATTTCTTATCATTATAATACTATAATATTCGTGCGCATCTAAGTTCATTGTTCATTTTTCGTTCTATTTCATAGTAGTAAAGTTCGAATATCTCTTAATCGCTATCTCGCGGAAATATTTCTCTTTGTTCGTAGAAACGCGTTATAAAGTTATCAATAGTCTTTGCGCAAAGTTTCATATAGCTACGTTAGTCATTAACAGTA